CTAAGAATAAAGATGAAGAACTTAAAATGAGGGTGAATAAAATAAGAAGAAATTCACCAAGAAAGATAATGTATGAAAAATAAATAAATAAAGAAAGATAAAATTAGAATCATTGAAAACGTGTTTCAATTCCCTTAAGCTGAAATATCCAGGTATTATTGCTGAACTTCTATAACTTATTACATACAGGTTAACTTCAATAACTAATGGCAAACTTGGGTGTGTGAATTATACGCAGAATCGATAACATGACAATGCCTGTCCTTCGTGGGAGTTAAAAAACGACTTCACTTTTGTACATATACTAACCATGCTTGAAAGTACATCCTTGAGCAAATTAATTGAAACAACTGCTTTAGTTTCCTTTCTTTCACCATTCGATCCGTTGTAGACCCACTGGAATGACAGGGTGTAATCGATTTTAATTTTCCCTCAGATTAGCTCATTTGCAGTGGTGTGCAAAATGAATTTAATTGCGGGGTGTATGATGAAATTTGTTTGGCCTTGAAAAATATTGCCTCATCCGTGATTGCATCAGATTTTCAGACACGCCCAGAGACTATAGTCTCGACAGTCGATTAGTTGTCCTACATCCACTGTCTGCGATGGACGTTACTCCAAGGAAGCATACGGAAATTGTAACACTTCACGAACACACTGGCAAGCCTTACCAGCAAGCAAATTAAAGTACTAGACTGGCCTGGAACCTCTACTGATTTAAATCCAATTGAGAATCTGTGGTCAATCTGCAAGGAACGACTTGGTGGAATGGACATACGAAGTACTAATAAGTGTACTGGGTCATGTTTCATTGGAAAAAGACGAGAAAAAAAAGTAAATGATAAAGGAATTATTCGTTTTGTTGCAAAGGGTTTTGAAAGTGTGTAGAACTATTAAAATCGCTAGTAAGTGTACCATCGGCTGACTATAATGTCGTTACTATTCATGATTGTAGTTTATTTTTAAGTAAGTGTAGGGCAATTGACTAACTGCGGACGAAAGAAGATTAACGTATGAGACACGGTATTTTCCAAGAATTTGTTTATTCTTCCATCCAATCATAGACGCAGATTATGGGAATTGTTGCATCAATAGAACACCAGATCTACATTGTTTTAGATACGTGCCAAAATTAAGTACCATTCGATGTGGAAAAAAACCCTATTTAAGTTTTATGATGTTTCGTTTTTGTACCAAGACTTTTCTCGCTGTATGTATTGTCATAAAATAATCCGCTACAGTTTCAGTATTTGTTAATCTCTGTAAGGCAAGAGGGCGATTAACCGAATTATCCGCTACGATTTCACAATTTGTTAATCCCTTCAAGGCAAGAAGGTGATTAACCAAATTATCCATTACGATTTCACTTTTTGTTAATCCTTGTAAGGGAAAAGGGCGATTAACCGTATTATCCATTAAGATTTCATTATTTTTTAATCCCTGTAAGGCAAAAGAGCAATTAACCAAATTATCAGGTACGATTTTACTATTTGTTAATCCCTGTAAGGCAAGAAGGTGATTAACCAAATAATCCGCTACAATTTTACTATTTGTTAATCCCTGTAAGGGAAGAGGGCGATTAACCGTATTATCCATTAAGATTTCATTATTTTTTAATCCCTGTGAGGCAAAAGAGCGATTAACCAAATTATCCGCTATGATTTCACTATGTGTTAATCCTTGTAAGGCAAGAAGGTGATTAACCAAATAATCCGCTACGATTTCACTATTTGTTAATCCTTGTAAGGCAAGAAGGCGATTAATCAAATCATATATTACGATTTCACTATTTGTTAATTCCTGTAAGGCAAGAAGACGATTAACCAATTTATCCGGTTAGGATTATGACCAAAGACCTATTGGTTAGAAATGAAACCGCAGACATTATGTAAACGTTTCTTTGAATTTATTGTTCAAGTCAGCATAATATCCAATGAGCATTCAGGATCCTCCAGAGTTTTAATGACTCTTTTGCTCAGGATTCCGTTTCGTTTCTCGTTCAGTCCGTTGCTACAAGGATTCTCAGCAGCTGTTGTTTCGGTGACAATGTTTCAAATTCCTCAAGGTAAAATGTAGAGGCACGTTTGATGGATTTCAGTAAATCCTCTCCCCTCGGTCCCACCTTCGTTCGGCTTTAGATTAACGATCTGCCTAAGAATATCCTCAGATCATTTGTAAATATGCAACCAGAAGATAGCAGGGTTTATGGCCACACCTCCGAAAATACACGTTTAATCTTCTGGTTTTGCGTTAAACATTGTCGTATTTTAGTGTATGAGTTTATTCTTAGCTGCCATGCATGATTAAAAGTTAAGATGATACATTTTTCATCACAGTTGGTCCATCAAAACGGAAATTACTTATGACTCAACCTAATAAGAGTCAAACTCCAATCATATAATAAGGGTCTGTAATATTATCGGTCCGGATCTGGCATCTTACCTTCATTCACATTCTCACCGCGATGACGTAGCTTTCCTTTGTCTTTCTTTATAAATATTTTCATGACAATTTTTCTGATACGCTCTCCTCCTTGGTACGCTGACCGCAGGAATTTGAACGATTTACTAGATTGCCTATTAGGTCCCATCATTTTACCGTTGAAATAATCAGATGTAAACGTAAGTTCTATTCTAACAGTTTCTTTTTTCGTACTTATCACCGGTAGAAATCTCTTCTGATTTCTTCCCTGCCGTTTACAATCTTCAAAAATTTAAATGCAACTTGCCATTTTCTTTCTCCCTGGGCCCTGTTCTTTTATTGTCCCTTTTCTTCATTAACGTATTCTCGTTTCTTCCACTCCTTTGTGGTATTATCGCCTTACTTGGGATAAAATTATTGGCAACATATGCCAAACGATTACCCAATTGTTTTTTCGTGTGCTATTCTTGTATGCAGTAGAAAAAGTTTACCTTCAATCCACGGTGTATGCTGCCATTACCAAAAGCTAAGGCATGTTAGTGTCCTCCAAATTTATCATTAACTGCTACGTATAATACATTCCTCATTAATATTTGTCCCTACATAACGGAAATTACTTACGGCTCAAACCAGTATTTCCCTTTGATGTTCAGAAGAAACTGTTTTTGTGCATTCCGTTAGAATACGGTTAAGGTGGGTATTTTCGATTTAAACGGTTTTTTTTTTTAATGCTATTTTATATACGGCTATGAGATCCTTTGGTCTAAGATCCTTGAAGGCTGTAAGCTTTGTAAAAAAAACTTTTTTGTTTTTATTTAACTAACTAATGTTAGTGACTTTACTGTTGCTTTCGTTTGCAAAGACATTAGATTCTTACCTTCCCTATAGACACAGAAATAGAAGCCTCTTCAGTTACTTTTGTCTATCATCCTTGAAGGATGTAAGCTTTGTAAGAAACCTTTTTTGTTTTTATTTAACAAACTGATGTTAGTGACTTTATTGTTGCTTTCGTTTGCAAGGACATTATTCTTGCCTTCCCTTTAGACACAGAAATAGAAGTCTCTTCCTTACTTTTGTCTATCATCCTTGAAGGATGTAAGCTTTGTCAGAAACCTTTTTTTTTATTTAACAAACTGATGTTAGTCATCAGATTCTTACCTTCCTATAGACACAGAAATAGAAGCCTCTCCAGTTACTTTTGTCTATCATCCTTGAAGGATGTAACCTTTTTTTTTGTTTTTATTTAACAAACTGATGTTAGTGACTTTATTGTTGCCTTCGTTTGCAAGGACATCAGATTCTTACCTTCCCTATAGACACAGAAATGTGAAGCCTCTTCAGTTACTTTTGTCTATCATCCTTGAAGGATGTAAGCTTTGTAAGAAACCTTTTTTGTTTTTATTTAACAAACTGATGTTAGTGACTTTACTGTTGCTTTCGTTTGCGAAGACATCAGTTTCTTACCTTCCCTGTACACACGGAAATAGAAGCCTCTTCAGTTACTATCCTCTCAGTTCCGCACCGATGTTCAGCTTGATAGAATAGTCGCTGACGTTACTTTCCGTGTTGCATATACGGTTTCTTTCTTAAGCTGATACTATTTTCTTGGCTGTATATTTTGTTACGAAAAAAAAAAGCAATAAAAACTGCAATAATTAGAAGATGCAAGATCATGTGATTATGGTGCTCGTGGGGTAGAATAGAATCATGACGTTCTAAAGTTTTCCCTCTATTATTTTTATTGTTTACAGCCTTCTGTTATCAGGGAGAAGAAGAAGAATTCCTCTTATCCACGGTGTATGCTGCCATAAGGATTCAAAAACTAAATTATGCTAGGATACACCAAATTTATTCGTTACTGCCACGTATGATTAGCAATTAGGATTATACATTCGTCATTACAATTGCTTCCCAAAAACGGAAATTATTTATGATTCAAATTTATAAATTATTCTTTCTGGTAAATACAAAATATTATAAGAAAAAAATACTAAACAAATATGAAAATATTTTCTAATAATATTTTATGTTCTCTCCAAGGAAATCTTCAGTTTAATCGTGTTTATTTTGCATATCATTCATGTAAACAACTTAGGCCGTCTTGTTTATCTGATACAACATTTCAAATCTCTGTCATTTCAATGAGATGCTCTTTCGTAAACATTGCAGTATGCGGTTTTTTTTGGGGGTTTTTTGACAATTATTTTTTTCTTTTTTCTTCTTCAATGAGATTAGTACAATGTTCTTAAAATGTTCTTTTAGGATCAGAAAAATAGCAGGCTTTAATAAAGTCGTGTTAATAATAACAACGGCAAGTGAAATTGACAGTTTAAACCAATGTTCGTCAACTGGTGTTGACCGGAACCCTAGGATTCCGCGAGAGGTTAATAAGGACTCCGTGAGAAACAGTGATGAATAGACTAATGCATTTTTAGTAATTTTTGTTGAAATTTATGTTCGTAATTTTACTATAAACATACGGCATAATGTTGGAATATCCTTGGTTATTATAATAAAAGCTTCGTGCCGTGAGTAATTAGTCAGTGTCCTGAAACGTTTATAAAGTAAATTGTCAACAA